CTGGGTGCCTGGAGTGTCCCTTTAATAACATAAAAGTAAATAAAACAACTATGGTCCTACTTACAATTGATAGAGCTTGAACTAGCTCTAGCCTGAATGGCATATAGTGGTACAATCCCCACCTATATGATACGTGAGACAGTGTAGGTAGGCAGATGTATCATCGGTATGAAGATCATAAAAAAATATAAAAGACACAGCAATAGTACTCACAGTATAAAAGGTACCAGGAGTATAGAATAAAGAATAGGTACTCACATTTAATTGGGCAGACTAACTGCTCAATGTGTAGGTGTAAGTGGTATAATACCCACCGTGGATTCTTATGGAGTAGTCCTCACTGGAACTTAAAATCTAAAGCCAGGTAGAAAATAATAAAGACGTAAAATGGCACACTCAAAGTGGAAAGAGGCCAAAATATCTTTATTAAAATACAATGTAAAACAAACAGTTAAATATCCACAACGCATTTCACCAAGGTGGCTTTCTCAAGTGGAGGTAGAAACCTTTCTACCTCCAAAATGTGCCATTTTACTTTTTTATTATCTTCTACCTGGCATCCGATTTTAAGTTACAGTGAGGACTACTCCAAAAGAATCCACGGTGGGGATTATACCACTTACGCCTACACATTAACCCCTTAAGACCGGAGGGCGTACAATTACGCCCTATTTTAGGCGGCTCTAAACGCCGCCAGGTGTAATTGTACGCCCTCCGGTCTTTTCTTTACTTACCCGGTCGACTTGCGAGGACCCCACAATCACATGGCCGGGGGTAGCTGCCTCCTGCATTGCCAGCAGGGGGGCTGCCTGTAATGACAGGTGGTCCCCCTGCTGGCTGAAAATAAAATTAAAATAAATTAATGAAAAAGTAAAGTGTAAAATATATATACTTAGATCATATATATATATATTATATATATATATGATCTAAGTATATATATACACATATACATACACACACACACATCTTATTTTCTCCCATTTTTTTCATATTAAATTATGTTTCATAGCTAAATATTTGATATTAAATGAAAGCCCTGTTTCCCCTGAATAAAATGATATATAATAAGGGTGGGTGCATTTACTATGAAAGAGGTGAATTACGGTTGGACAGACATGTAGCGCAAATGCCAGGTTTTGTTTACATTTTGTTTTGTTCACAACGTGTACATTTTGGCTCGTCATGAGACCACTATAGTGCCAGGAAAACATACTACCGTTTTTCCTGCTTTATCACCTAATGCCCCCACCCTCAGTTCCCCCCTCCCGCCCGGCTCTGGAAAGGAAAGGTAAAAACTTACACCTTTTTCAGCTGGCTGGGCGGGGAGCTCCTTCTCTCTCCTCTCCGTTCACTCCTCCTGGAGGCTGCAGATAAGCCGCAGCTGGCAAGGCTGTAGCTGGCGCATTCAGCCAGCCTGGAAGCATTTTGCAATTATGCTTTCCTATGAGACATGCGTGCTCACTGTGAAAATCACGAGGTGAAGCGCGCCGAATGGCTGTCAGTAGGACAGCCACTGGAAGAGATGAGGGAAAACATAGCGGTTTCTCACCAGGCACCGCTGTGTTTACAAAATGGGTTAACCCTAGAAGGACCTGGCACCCAGACCACTTCATTAAGCTGAAGTGGTCTGGGTGCCTAGAGTGGTCCTTTAAGGGGTTAAGCAGTTAGTTGTTTGTTTGTATTTATTTATATTTTTTGTTCTGTCTTTTGGGTCAGAAAATGTCATATGGCAAAAGTTAGTAAATCCGCTTAATTTTGCTTGTCTTTGGGCTACGGACTGAAACTTTATAACTTTGTGAGAAAAATAACATTCCGATGGGGCGGTGGTGAATAGCTAGAATGGAATCAGTGATTTGGAACTTTTCAGAGACATACACTCCTTATATTAACAGTTTAATTAAAGGCATACCATCACATGAAAAGTATCACTGGTAGATTTGTGGCCGGTATAGCTTTGGTATGTACAGTAGAGACGCGGTATCTCACCAGCACTATAGCATGTGTTATAAGCCAGAGTTTTGTTTGATGGCATACTCTGCAAGCAGCGAAGGAGAATCTCTCCGATACCAGGGTCACTGTCTGCTCTCCGTGTCACCAGCTGACCCATGACAAACCTGATGTCTGTGTACAGAACCTGGCAAAAAAGCAATAAATTGATTGTCTAATAGACAGGAGCTACGTATTGTACAGAGAGCAGCAAAAATGAATAACAGCTGTATATTGTATATTATATAGGGAGGAGCAGAGTGAGAGATAGCTGTGTATATTATATAGAGAGGAGCAGAGTGATAGATAGCTGTGTATATTATATATAAAAGAGCAGAGTGAGAGATAGTTGTGTATATTATATAGAGGGGACAGAGTGAGAGATAGCTGTGTATATTAAATAGAGAGGAGCAGAGTGAGAGATAGCTGTGTATATTATATATAAAAGAGCAGAGTGAGAGATAGTTGTGTATATTATATAGAGGGGACAGAGTGAGAGATAGCTGTGTATATTAAATAGAGAGGAGCAGAGTGAGAGATAGCTGTGTATATTATATAGAGAGGAGCAGAGTGAGAGATAGCTGTGTATATTATATAGAGAGATGAGCAAAGTGAGAGATAGCTGTGTATATTATATAGAGAGGAGCAGAGTGAGAGATAGCTGTGTATATTATATAGAGAGGAGCAGAGCGAGAGATAGCTGTGTATATTATATAGAGAGGAGCAGGGTGAGAGATAGCTGTGTATATTACATAGAGAGGAGCAGAGTGAGAGATAGCTGTGTATATTATATAGAGAGGAGCACAGTAAGAAATAGCTGTGTGTATTATATATAAAAGAGCAGAGTGAGAGATAGCTGTGTATATTATATAGAGGGGACAGAGTGAGAGATAGCTGTGTATATTATATAGAGAGGAGCACAGTAAGAAATAGCTGTGTGTATTATATATAAAAGAGCAGAGTGAGAGATAGCTGTGTATATTATATAGAGGGGACAGAGTGAGAGATAGCTGTGTATATTATATAGA